ACTCCCAAACCAACCAGGGATTTTTATTCTTTTTTATTATTTTGTTTAGGGAGTCAACTCCCAAACCAGTCAAAGGTTTTGGGAGTTTGACTCCCATTTTTCGGGGAATCCGGGGCTTGGGAGTCGGCTCTCCAGTTTCTGGGAGTTGTTTGACCAAGCCCCTTCAATTATTGTTTCCCTTTTCTAATTACCACAATAGAAAGTATACCTTCCACTTGTCTCCTCCAAGAACAAAGACCTTGCCTTGCCCTTTGAAACACCACCCACTAAAAATGATTTTCTACACACAAATACTTGATTCCTTTCCTTTCCCACCACTTGGCTATTGACTATTAACAATAAAGGATCCATATGACCAATGGAGCCATACCCACTAACAACCGGACCATGAGCTGGAGTTAATATTTTCCCGAGAGGAGATGATTCCAAAATTTCTATTGAAGTCGCTATCATTTCAAACACCCAATTAGAGGAGATGCCTTTCAATTAGATGACAGTCTGTGTGATGTGATCACAATGAATATAGTGTGGGGGACAGGGAACCAACAATGTAAAAACGGGGGTGGATTTGGGGATTGGGTAGGAGTGCGGACGGGGGTGATTGGTTTAATAGTTTAACCTTCAATTTACTTCATACATCAATTATTCCATACAACAATTATTTCATACTACATTTATTTTATTCTACATTTATTTCATACTACATTTCTTTCATATCTTACATCTCATTTCAACTCATTACAATTTACACATTGCTTATATCACCTACATATATATTTCACCACACAGATTTATTATTTCATTTCAGAATATTTATTTCAGTTCCTTATTATCTGAGCTCCTTTCACTACATATTATCTTATCACAAATATGAAATATTTCATAGTTTCTCTTTTTCAACAATATTTATTCCACACTACACAGTTTTCAGCCACATTTATTTCATAATCACTTGTTCTTTCAGATACAACTTATTTCATAACATATTCTCATTTCAGCTGCTAACTTACCTCTAGTACCTGACCAGAACCACTCACATGTATATAAAGATTACACTTCCTCACTTACTTTGTTCCCCATGCTTGTATTAGAGAAGTAGACAGATAATTACTTATAAGAGCAGATATCACTCATTAGTAATTACCAGAAGTAATTATTACTGATTTTCCCCCAGAAGATAAGAAATTGAACCCAGAAACCATCATCCCCCAGAGCCTTATCCTTACCAAAATTCCCCACATCCTCAATCTCTCAGCAGGTGCCTTGTACAAGACATCAGTAATAAATCACATACTGAGATTACCCTCAGAAAGTGCCACACCTTTTCTTTAATTCTTAGTGTAACTCTCTCCCAAGCCTTGACAAGAGGGCAGCTTCATCATCATCCAAGTCTTCAACTCACATTATCCGCTGTATAGTTGTTCTTTTCCCCTCTAAGCAGCTCTTTTCTGTAGCTTGAAAAGTTCAACAGTGGTCAATAGCCATAACATTGAAAATGCAAAAAAGGGTTGATAACAGCCAATACAGGCTTTATTGGTCAATAAAGCCTGTAAAAACATTGTAAAACAGTGAAACATATCAAAATTTTGATACTTTTTTGATAAAAATAACAAAAAAAATCAAAACAAGTCGGCCAATACATCACATACATGGGACCATATATTGTAATGTAAAGTATTGGCCCACTGTTGCAAGGAGGGGTGAAAAAAAAAAACCTTCAGGCAGGGAGGAACCCCGCCCAGCTCAAAGGATGTAGAGTCTCAAGGCCAGGAAGGGATTACTAGGGGGCTGCGCCTGGATTGCTTTACTAGCGGCTTCTTCAGCGGCTGGAGTTGCTTAATGGATCAATGATTACATTCAAGATCATAGGTCTGACTATAATGATAGTGCCCAATCGAAACTCATGGGAAAAGTTTGATTAACCTCACAAGAAACATTGCACAATATCATCACAAGGAAGTGTGTGTATATACAAGGATAATCAGAAGAGAGCTAACTTTCACAAATTCAGAGATCTGGAAGTGGTATGTACTTGCTAGATAGGGGACTACTACAATTTTGAGGCAAGCACATTTGAGGCCCAGCATAATCACTCCAATCAAAACTTGACCATCTACCTCCAAAAACAAGTCTCCATCCAGGCGTCCCGAAGAGCATCCGAGCTGTAAATGTTATCTCCTTCCGGCAACGGCGGTTGGGTTGTTTGTTTGGAGATTTATTTGAACAGTGCTGGTTCATCCAGCTTTAGCAATGACGACGTCGCTTCGACTTGTGTAATTCATCATCAGCGATTGTGCCAGAGGGTGGACATTGTCGAGTTGGATGTGTATGCGGTTCGCAGCAAGTGATCTTGCGATTTTGACGGAAGTTTTCCAACTCGGTTTGAGCAAGTTGAACCAATTGCTCGTTGGAAATCGTTGCCGCACCTCCAGGACGCGCGTCGATCCTTCGAGAGATGTTTACAAAAGGAGGGATATCTAGTCTGGGTAGCGAGAGATGGAAGAAGAGACCGATGAATGATTCCTTGGTAAGCTCAAACCCTGATTTGAATAGCTTTCCGGCTAGATTCTTGATGACCTGGAAATGGCTTCCGATGTCTGCGGTTGCATCGCAGATCTTGAATCTAGTCTGTAAGATCTCTTTCATGATGATAACTTGTTTACTTCGACTGTTCCAGTGCTTCTGAATCTTATCGAAGGCCTCCATTCCAGATTCGGCCTCGACAACGGTTAGTACAAGTGCATCATCTACCGAAGCCGCAATCGCTTGTTTGATTATCAGGTCTTCCGCGCACCCTATCGTCTGGTCCGGCGATGTCAACAGATTCACCTTGCCTGTAGTCATTCCCAAGATACTCTCCACCGTCTTGAGCCAAGTTGGGTAGTTGGTTCCATCCACACTTAACTTTTTGACAAATTGAAGCATCTTCAGCATCGCTACTGGGTCATACTGTGTCGTCACCGTTTTGAGTTCTGTGGCATGTAGATTCTCGAGATCGGCCACATTTATTAAAAGTTCTTCTCCCGAAAACTGTTTCTCAATCTGGCCATCATGGAAAGTAAAAAGTTTGATTTTTCGGGTCGAGTTCCTCGAGAATGTGATGAACGTGGAAAGTTGCATGAGTTTATCAATAACATCCTGGATCGAAGCAGTCTTTGGCATCAAGAATGAATAAGTTCCCTGGATTAGACGGATTCAAAACAAGTCATGATGTATCAGTACAGAGCCAGGGCATGCTAGGTTTTCCAGGCGCAAAGAAGCATAGAACAAAATCGAACTTACGTCTTCTCGATTGTGAGCACCAGTCCATGTAATCTTCACCTTGCGTTCCGTTTCAATCCCATCGACAGGCAAGTCCAACAGCTCGTAAAACAGAATTTTATTGATGGTGTCGTTATCCGGCGACTCGATCATGTCAGCCACTGTGCCCTGTCGACAAATGACTTGGTGGGGATCGCCTTGTTCACTGTTAGTGAATCGGAGCTTGGCGGGATCATGGTGTAACCTTTCTCCCACTAGATGGGCCATCTGAGAATATGTTAGTTTCTTGCTCATAGGAATACCAAACTCGATCATCTTAGCCATGTTGGTATGGCGAGGTTTGAATTGAATTAGGACCCGATTTGTCAAAAACTCGTAAAATGACACCGGATCAAGATACAACCGTTGTCTTCCGAGATTGGCAAGTCTTAAATACAGAGAACCGAAAGGGGCAGAGGGATCAAAAATGATGTTCTGATCAAAAATGAACTATTTAGACTGACTCTTCAGCGGAAAATCGAATTGCAAAGCAAATGATATCCCCATCCAGCAATTCAGTTTCCGCGAAGGTATCTGTCGGGTCCATCGGAACAATGTTCCCAGGACTGAGTTCCTGGGGAAAAGGAAGATAGAAATCCAGGAGAAAGAAATGAGATATAATAATTGGATTCAACAAGGTTGAACAAGACAAGCAAAGCCAACATGAAGACACGAACCTCGTAGATATTCAGACGCCTCCCCTTAGCAAATTTCATGCGGGTATTAATGAGAGGAACCAAGTCTGCTACTCTTTGGCCTTCCTTAACCCAAAAGTGGCCAATTCCGGATAACGTCTGATCCGAAACATTAAAATACTTGACCATGATCATAATCTGCCTTTCCTCAGATTCAACTGCCTGTGCTTCATGCACTGGATCGAGGACTTCAAGATAGAGCTTGAGATCTTGAGTTGATGAGGCCATTGTGGTGTCACGTAGAGCCTCCATTGCTAGGGGGAAATCGGTTAACGCATGAGCGATTTCTGAGTTATTATGACTTAGAAGAGGATGAGGGCGATCAGGACATTGTCCTAAGGCTTACTTAGTGTCTGATCATCTTCTGGCACAGCACTGCGTGGCCGGTCTACGGGTGCCAACAATGGTCGAAGACGGATTTGCTCAGGTTGGTAGCCTAGGTCTCGGGCAAGTGTCGATTTGAAATCCAGGAAACGTTGCTCTTTGGCAACTCTGAATGTCGGAAGGTCAGAGGGAGGCATCGTTTCATCATCAAACAGCGCCAGATCAAAGCCTTGATATGCTCGGAAGGTTTCCTCTGTGATGATCTGTATAGGTTACCTCATTAATGATTTGATATCTGGCTTTTACTGAACTTCCATGTTGGTTTTGCGAGCATACCTTCGTGGTAAGATGAGTTTCCGTCTCTTCCATCTCTTTTGTCTTCTGGGCATGGTCCTTCTGTTCCTTTTGCAGCAAAGATTCTGAACCAGTTGGAACCAAAGGACATAAGTATTTGAAGACGAAACTTGGGATGCTAATCTGATACTTACTTAGATGGGTAGGCGTGTCGGCCTGGGTAATAGGCGCAAGAATATCCCCTTCTTTGGATTCTCTAACGTACACCAACATGTGGGCATTCGTCGAACTGTCGGTACCACTCTTCAAGACTTCCCGCTCTGTGACAGGGATGACTCGGTCGTCATCAAATTTATACCATTTCGATTCAGCGTGAGGTTTGATGAAGGCAAAGAAGTTTCCCTTTGGAGGTTTTCCTGAATGAACCAATACGCCATGTAACTGATAGTTCCAATCGACCGTTTTGTCAGCTGACTCGTCCAAGTAAGGTGCGAGATCCAGTCTGACCGGAAATTCTAGTTGATCGTCGATCTGAGAGTCATGTTCATAGTTTGGATAGCAGAGTTGGTCAGAAAAGATACACGAGTAATAGAGGTAACATCCCACACCTCAACCTGCTTGTCTTTCTGTAAATTATACTCAGATCGCTTGAGATGGACGTGCAGAACAGGGGGGAACTCTAGGAATACAGTCCCTTTGTGAGCATCTTGGAGTCCATGGACTTCACCGGCGTCGTATTTTTTGTCGCCGTCCATTTTCTGTGGCGCCACGTAAGCTTTGAAGGACTCTTGAAGCGTTCTCAAAGCCCGGCCCTCAGGATCCTTGATTTCAAGCTGAACGTCTGCGGTGCAGGACGACAAAAAGGGACATCTCAGTTTTTTTCTTATCATTGATCGTTTTTTCAATACTTTAGCTCAAGCTGGCGGAATCATTCGAGGGGTCATGAGCAAGAGCCCACCGAAGAAAGTTTCTTCTTGGCTACTCTCGTAATCGACATGGGTGCATTTGATGTATCTTTTGTGTTTTCCAGCAAAAAGATGTTGAAAGGTACCGTCCACAGGAGTGTTTTTCGTTCTGCTTTGTAATTTATGCTGAAGCACGCGGGTGAATTCCAGGAGGTCATGCGACTGAGAAACGTCCAAAGACTTCCACACTAAATATTTCGTCAACTCGGCTATCCCAACAGCGCTATCGGATGTTTGCAATACACAAAAGATGCGCTGAAGAGTCAAGGCCACTGAATCCGCGCCATCGTGCTCGGTTGGAATTTGGTAGACAGCCTATAGGAGGCCAACGATAGATTCAGGTGATGAGAAAACGACGTCAGATGAGCCAAAATGCAGAGAATCTAACTTACATTTCGAAAATAATTGTTCGAGAACAGAAGCTGCAATAGAGGATTCATGAAGGATGCACCTCCATTGTTTGTCAATGCAACATAACCTGTTTCTTTTTTCGAGTCATAGCTGTATAAGCAGATAAGTAATACGCAAAATTTATGCGTCAAGGCGGATACAAATTAGCAAACAGAGAATCGAGTTGGGATAATAGAACGGCATAACAGACTTGACAAAGTCATGCCATAGTAGCCCTGTTTCGTCCTTAAGCACTCGCACAAACGCAGTTATCATAGTCACATCATTTTCGATGATAGGTTTGAGGCAGGAGCCGTTTGGGTTGCACAGCTTTTCCAACTCAATGATATGAGGGGGCCCCCAGCCCTCTCCATAGTTGGTGAATCGTTTGGTGGACCGTGCTATAAAAAGAGTACAAAAGCAAGTTACAAAAGCTGCCCTCAAATGAGAACGAGAGGAGCGACATTGAGATCATATCCTTACAAGTTCCGATGTAGCACGTTCCGTCCTTTGGGTTGGAAATCGCAAAGGCAAACTCTGTACAAACATGCCAGCCTTCGGGTTGTCTTGGATCGCTGCATTGCAAAAAAATTCCAATGGCATCGTCCCCTTCGTCCTGAGGTCGTCGAGGATAGCATACAATGCGCCTGCAAGAAGTTCAAGCAGTTGACATTAAGGCAGATCAAGCTGTCAATGACCAGGATTACGAATAGATTTGATTCATTTTTTTGATAATGTAGAAAGCCGTGAATTATACTGAGATGATCGATTAGTCTGGGGCCAGTCTGAGTCGACACATGGGGCCGAAAAATGTCGAAGATGAAATAGTGGACTGGATGCCTACATACCACTCATGACCACCGACCACAAATGACTTGCTCTTCACACATTCTGATCTCGGTGTTTTGGCAACACCCTTTATTTTATAGCTGTATTTTCCGAAACCTTCTACAGGAATCCCGGTATCAGGCAAGTATTTGGCTAAATAGGCTTCGGCTACGATCGATCAAGCCCAGTAATCAGTCGTTAGATTAATATTGGTTGGTCAGAGAGTGGAAATAACGAACTATCATCGATTGAGAGGACCTGTTTGTACATGTGTTGAAGGTTGACTCATCAGTATAATAAGTATCTCAAGGATGTTGGCTGAAGAGGACGACGGACCATTGTAAACTTCCAGGAGAATATGTGCGTTTCTCGTGGGCGGTGAACAAACAAACCAGAAGAGTCGATGTGTATGTCGAATCGGTTATTCAGCAAGGTTGGTTGGGAGCAACAGCAGTTCTGGGCGCGTCCGACCGCGTCCCGAAGCGGCGCGTCCGGCCATGTCTGTCGCCTCGGCTGCAATCCGGCCCGGCTGTCCTCCCTCGCCCGAGCTTGTCCCGCCTCCCGAGGCAACTCAACAATTTATGTACAGCCTCAAAGCGGCCTTACGCAAACTGGTGCCCCCCCCCCCCCCCTTCGATCATGAGTAGTGTCTGCGGAGCGCTGGAAAGGAGAGATGCAGCAAAAACTCGTGCATTTCAAAAATTACCTTCAGGCTCACCTCACCGGATGGAACCGGCTGGACGTCTAGGTTGCGGTGGTAATTACCACGTCCAGTGCCACCCAGAGGTGAATGCTCCATTTGGGTCCAGGATGACAAGTGCTTCTTGCCGCCAGGAAACGGCGTGGGAAGGGTGTTAAACTACCTTCATGATTGCTGAGAGCAAGTGGCGAGTCCTCGCGCGCAACGTCATGATTTTTTTCCCCAACTGCTTCAGAATAGTTGGAATCTACATATAACTAAAAAAACAGCCTCAGAGGGCCAAACAAACCGTTCTTGCCGCCAGGAAACGGCGTGGGAAGGGTGTTAAACTACCTTCATGATTGCTGAGAGCAAGTGGCGAGTCCTCGCGCGCAACGTCATGATTTTTTTCCCCAACTGCTTCAAAACAGTTGGAATATTTAATACATTTTCATCTTCATGAACTTGAACAGGCTTGAACGGACGCGCTGAACGACCAAAGGTAAAAACCGCGTCCCGGTGGATACCGAGGCGGCAATAGCCGCAAGGTACCCAGAACTCCCTCGCAACCGATACACACTTCCACAAACCTCTCCTGGGAATCCGTCATGGCACTGGCGGGAGCTTTTAGACGATCTATCAAAAAAAAGTATGGGATGTACCATAGCTGGTTGGAAGGCCTTGAGGCAGCAGCGATAAAATTTCCAGTCTTGCCCGTCAATCCCTGGCGGGACAGCTTGATGATACCTCTTGAACGCGATTAGTATATTCTTTAAACCAGTCCTGCGATTTGAATCCTTATATTTACCGTGACCAACACGAAGATAATCGTCACACGAAATTGCAGAATGACTCTGAGTACTGGTTTGAAACTCAATCGGTGGAGAATGTTTTCGAGCGGTCTAATCCTACTCGCAGGCCTGATTAATTGGAGCATGGCACAACGACGACACAGCCATTCTTTTGTGTTGAGGAATACTCACGAGAATTCAAATGATCTTTCCGAAAAGAACGAGGTCCGACTACGAAGCATTGGCACCAATTCTAATCACAACATGTCGTTACATCAAAGGGATCTTATCGCTAGAGGTGATTCGGCCGTTCCAGTTTTTAATACATGCAGCACACCTAGCTCCTTCTCACTTAGTAGGTCTCTCTCCTCTTCATCTCCCTCTGAAAGTCTCATGCATCGTCATAGTTGACTTGAAAATAACTGTCTTTGCCTCCTTATCAGCTTTTGATGATGGACCATCGCAATTCAGTTCAAAATTAGACGCAACCTTGGCTGAGGCCAATTTTAAAGCTAGTTATTTTATCAACGGAAACAACGTCGGTTGTATTTATGACTTTGCCGATCTCTTGATCGAAAGGTTTAGAAAAGGGCATTTGATTGCGTAAGGGTGCTCGGGTTGAATCCATCCCTTGAGTCGATTTTTTCTGATCATTATCAACTTGGTCGCGTTCATTAGGAGCCATACTTGGTCTCATGTTCATCTAAACCAGGGTAGCTACCAGCAAATTTCTCAACAATTGGAACTGCTTGAGAACGTGAGTTTAGTTTTGGGCACCATATATAGACGGATTACTATTTCCGCTACAATAACACTGCTGACAGCTAAACTATTATTCATGTCATAAACGCAGGCCATGATTAAAATCTTGGGAGTAAAACCGCTGTATTTTAGACCTCCTTTTGGTTCGTCTAAGATTTGAATCCTCCAATGTACCCAAGCACTGGGATGAACAAATAAAATCTAAGACTTTGCCTTGCTTCTCTCGCTTGAAAACTTGCTGCGGGGATAATCAGGCGAATACAACGACATTGTGGTAAGGAAACATTAAGACACGATTATTACTTTTCTGAATGTCGAACCCATCTCCCAATTTCTAACATTATTGTTTGTGAATTTTCGGTTCCAGTTGCAGGTTTTGCAAGACAGAGGCTACAAGGGACTGATTCTATGGTCGCAAGACTCGCAAGATAGCTTAGCCTCACCCCCCAGCTCATCGGAAATAATTGCGAATTATCGATCCTATCCCGACCAAACTAACGTATTGAATCATGAGACTACCTCCCTCATGGTCGACGAAGTCAGCCTAGTTTCCAGTTTTTTTTTTTCTATTGGCATTTTACTCTTTATTTTTTAATCGCGGATGCAATGCTTGCTGCATGATAAAATTTCCTGACGTTCAATAAATTGGTTTGATGTAGGTTATACCGGGTGTTGTTCCAATCCTCAAGGAAAAAGGATTTAATCTGCTAACGGTGCGACAGCCTCGTTCTCCTATATTTACTTTACAAAATAATGACATAGTTTCATGCATAAGACTATGAGTACAGAAACATGTAAGACTAATGCTTTGATCGCATTGTGGGTTTGATAAAAACATGGATTAGTCTCCTGATTGCTTAGGTCTGGGTTCGAATCCAAGTGATTGGTACGTGTCCGTTCAACAACCTGGATCGAGGGATGTAAGTATTATTCTTCGCAAGCAAAATCGTTCAGATCTCCGTAGCTGGAAATATTCAACTGAGATAATTGCCTGGTCTTTCAAACTTTATATATTGACAGGAATCATGGACTTGCCAGGGCACTCCAACATCTGAAAGCTATGTCTGAGCTTAAGGCAACATCTTTTAATTCATTTTAATCTGTGTTTTCATTCTTCAAATTACCCTAATTTTACTTAAGTTGCATGCAAACCTTGAATGATGTGGGGGTTCAAACCTGAATCTTGAATAGACAATTTGAAAGAGCAAGGTGGCAGTGGATCAACCAACATTTGTCTTTCTTGTCCAATCAGCTGCATCTGTCAGTCGACCATCCAGCACCCATGACTTAATATTATTGCAAAATGTGTAGGTTGGCATGTATGCCATTGGGGTGCTTTTAAGATTTTGCTGGGGAAACCTTTCAACAATCGTGCATTTCCAAACTTTTACCAAAGATTTTGAAAAAAAAAAATTGCTTTATGAGTATGAATATCATCCAACGGAGTTATGGTCTACAAGTGGATTAAACTGGATTAAAACCATCAAAAAAGACATTTGAATCTATTCCAAAGCCCATCTGGTTGGAGAAACCAAACGTTGGCGAGCATTTCAGAGTCTCTACCAAATTCTTGTTTCTCCAAACAAGTAACTTTGGAACTTGTTGAAACCCCTTCCATAAGGGGTTCATCAAAATGAAAGACCTTTTAAAAAAAAGTCCACTATTCACCTGCAGGCCTATATTTTTTTGGTCAATTGTCCCATCCAGTCAATGCCTCCAATCTTTTGCTTTCTGCATGCAATCAATGCCTCCAACATTTTGAATTCTATAATGCTTTACAATTGTAACAACTCACCAACTCTCTCCTGAACATGGGTTGACTCTACCACAACCCCAAACTATAGAATAGCTGCTCATCTACTCGAATTCTGGCCCTACAGTCAGAGAAGCGAGGGGCTTGGTTTAGCTAGGCTCAGCTATGCTGCCAGTGCAAGCTGGCATACATCCCTTCTTTGGAGGACTAACTTGCAACAACGCCAGCTTGTGCCTGCGTTTTAGTGATTAAATAAAGCTCGATGATCGCGGATCATGATTTCAAGCTCGGTCGGGGGATAGTTTTACCTTCAGCGCCATCCAGCAGAGGCCTCTGTACCCAGTCTCACCCCGGAAAGCATTTTGAAATTAATGTGAAGAGTGATGAGAAGGCGGAGAGCAACCTTCTCATGGCTCTGCCAGTCGGTGAGAAGGACTGAGCACAAGGACATCCAAGCGATTTGAACTTTGCAGTCGATTTCACAGGTCCGATTTCAGATCTTACATATTCGATCATTCGGGTTCCCATGCTGGCGGGGTGGTAGGGAGTCGGAAGCGATGCGGATGCCATCATGAACTGAACGTAGCTTGGGTTTTGGATCCTATTTGTGAAAACTTCTTGGAGAAGTGACTCTCAATTTTACATACATAAACCACCGCGTGGAAAATTTTTGAGTTTTCCCAATATTCCCAGGATTGATTTCGAATTGGCGGGACCCTTGAACGTCGGGAAAGGATAGGACACATGCGTATATAAGTTGGCTCCTGTGCCTGACCATTCATCGTCCAACCTATCCACCTCAATCCACTCTGGAACATCATAAATAAACAAGCACCAAGTGGCGCAACGCATACGCCCATCAATCCAAACTCGTCATCGACACACTTAGAGATCAACCTCATCAGGATGAACACAAACCTTCTCCTGCTTCTCTTGGCCTGTCTTGCTGTCTTTTTCGGTGTTGTGCGCACAGCTCCGTACGAATACGCTATATGGAAAAACGTCTGCTTCCCCGTGAAAACATTGGATTGTGGCGATTAATGCCCAGTCTCCCTCAGGTTAGTTCTGGTGCCTTTTTAGGTGCATGCTTCTCATCCTCTCTCAGCTTGGTTTTCTTCTTTGAACACTCACCGCATCTGTGCACACAATCAATACGCATGAAGTACCGTGTCACAGAATTGATTCCATGGCAGAGGACTTCTATCTCTCTCTCTCTGTTGATTTTTCTCCCCACATCCTGCAAACAATGCAGCAAAGTCATGTGTTCAAAGAATAGATTCATCCTTCTTCCAAGCGTTTCTGTTTTGACAGGCAACAAGACCGCTAACAAACTTTTTGATTTCCTCTACCAGGTTACCTCAGTTAAAGAAGACGATCGAGGGGATGGAGGTGGATCAGTCAACGGAACTCCTCATCAACTTTCATACAGCCTTCCTGTTTATTCTTCCTATTTATCTGAATACACCTCCGCTGCTACTCCTGGGTGGCCCGCAATGTAAACATGAAGATTCCAGTGCGCAATGTCAACCCCGAAGTGCACTTTTAAAAAATTAAAAATTGAGAAGATGTCGAGTTTGTTCATTTTCTATGTATTTCATTCCTTGTGTATGGTTATTTCAGCTTTATATTCATGGGTATAATCCCCGTATATAACAACATATCCAGTAGTTTTTCAAGCACATTAAAATGGCGCGGCTAGACTCGCCATGGTCTGCAATAAAGATCGCAGTATAAGAAAGATTACTTTGACCAAAATCGTGTGGATGAATGGGTTTGTGTATGCATGCCCTGTAGGTACATTATCTCAAAACATTCATGTTGTGCTTGCGTAGCTTGCTGAACATAGGGGGAAGGGGTAAAGAATACTCAGACGATGCAACAGAACGCCGAAGTCTTCAAACACAGGGCTAGGACATAGACTAAAACCAAGTGCGCGCCAAAAGCGCCAATTCAATCACTATCAAATAAAGTATTACCCAGCCAATTGCTAGGAGAGTGAAGAGTTTGCGCTCCCGAAGAACGAATCCCCTTTGTTGCCTTTCGAGATTCATTCGGGGACGTGCTTCCCCACCTAACTGGACTGCTGCTGGACGGCCAAGCTGTCGTCCGTCTGTGGGCGCTCGGATATCCAAGGTAGCCCTGAACGATCCCTGTCACACCGTAGCCATATCCCTCACAGTTGCGATTAGAATTCCGGCTGGTTTTTGGAACTCGAGAATCAGAAAAATGCGCTCACGTCGTTCTCCCCGAGAGGGCCGCCATGCATAGAGGAGTCGGGGAATATTGGCTCGCTGAGAGGATCTGAATTCAATGAGCTTGGGAAATCCATCTGCAATTCAGGCGTAGCGTCTTCTGCCATTTCGCTTGCAATCAGCGGACATGGTCTTCCAGAATGCTCCATCCCGGAATATTTGCCTACAAGCTTGATGAGAAATAGTGCATTCGTAAGATCGCACGTTTTTTCTTATCATTATACTAGGACGAAAGCATCACACCAAGATGAATGGTAACCACGAGAGGATCTTGAATGGTTGGAACCTTAGCCCAGTCAACAAGTGATAAAAACGCAATTTTAGTTTTTCCCAATAGTTTAGCGAATGTGGGGTATAGAGATAGCACAATGCGTGAATACATACATCACGGAAAGTTATCCTTCAACGGAGCTCGATTAAACTAGTGGGAGGAAAAAAAAACTTAGGTTTTGTGGGTGAACATGGTAGCGACTGATCGGCAAGTGTTCGCACATTTAAAAATAAATTCCAACCCAGGATGGGTTAATGTCCAACTGGACACCGGAAGATGACAACTCGTGATGGTTTTATCGCGATCTGTTTCAGGGAGACGATCTTGTTGGACTCAGTTTGAAGGAACACACCCCCTATCCGTCGGATGCCATTTGCCAATAAAACAATTCCTACATGACACACATTCCACCTATGGGTCGGGCCACAAATAAAGATGGAAAGATAGAAAGTTTGGAAAAAGGACCCCCTGATGTTTTGAACCTGTTTCGCAGTGGGAAATTCATCGGTCTAACATTGCGGTGAGGCACTGAAGTTCAATAACCCAGTTGTCTGAACTTTGGATTATGACTTTTTTTCCAATGTTCAGGGCATGTTCTACCTTTGGGTTCCACTCTGAAAAAGGATTTTTTTATCAAATGAAGCAGAATAGTGATGGAAAAAGGATAGAGTAAATGAGTGGGGAGTCAGGCAATGGGTTTGGGTAGCAATAACATATTTAACTAACCAGAAATACCAAAATACCAAAACACAATATTGAGAGAAGAGTGAGGTTTATCTTTACACTTGAATTTTCTTCTGACACGGTGACATATCAAATCATTAGAAAGATCAAAAGATTGGGTAGTTTAAAATTCGCTTTGGAGGGGTGATGATGAGCAAATAATTTTAAGCTGATTAGAACTGTTTCAATTTGATTAATCCAGCCAAAGAAAGCCGATTGGTTAGTTTCTGAGGATTGATCTCACAAGTAGAAAGAACTCTTGCAGAGCGATAACTGCCCTCTCAGTTGATCAAATCGATGTATTCCTAGCTAGATCATGGTTAGCAGTAATCAATTGAGGTTTAATCACTATTTATGAGTGCTTGGCTGGACAAAAGAGTGGACGAAGAAGATCAACATGAAGAAAGGATGCAGAGTCACAACGGAAATCCACGCGCTGTGCTCATAGCTCTAGCGCATGATGTTGCACAACAAAAAGACGGGTATGATCCAAACAATAAACAGAAGCATTGTACCTCTACAATCGCCAAGAGCCTGCATGTTTTTTTCGAGCGCACCCACTTCCAGGATCGGCTGGAATTCTTCAAGAATGTCGGAGAGTTCTTTCGGGTGTTTAGGAGCTAAGGATTGATCGAAAGAGTGGGATGAAGTGCAGCACTTGGGACAAATCTCCTCGTCGGTCATAGGATTTTTGGCAACACAATCTTCATGAAAAACGTGTTCGCAGAGGAGTTGCTTTGGAAGTGAAGATGGCCCTCGGTTTGAGGCACCAAGGGCTGCCCCACAATGATCACAGGGTGAGGTCCAGTAATGTAGGCTTGTCAAATCTCTCTCTCCGACTACTCCCTCTCCCGGGTAGACCGACTCGTAGCTTCGACGAGGAGAGCTTTCGGTGTCCGAGTAATCCTCGTCCGGACGCTGTCGAGCACGCCTTTGCTCTGGTGTATCTAGGTCATACGAGCCCCAGCCCGATTCCTGGGTCAAGAGAGACCGCACATGAACTTGGTTAGAATTCTTCCCCGATTTGGGGATTCGAGAGATAGAAGAATCATGCTTACTTCCGTCTGATAGGGCTGACCCTGATGAGTCGAGTACGGGGGAATCGCCGGTTCGGAGGGACGATGTGAGCTTGAAGCCACCCAGGATGGATACTCTTCTTGCCAATCAGACGCGCCGCTTTCCGCCACTTTATTTTTCCCAGTCAACTGACTTATCCCATGAGAGGGTTCCATCGCAGAATACCTGTGTAGGAGCTGGTTGAGAAATCAGACAGGATTCGTCAGTGAATGTTTTCTTTTCTTTTTTTTTTTTTTGTCGTTGGTTAGAATAGTTTAACAGAATGCCTCACCAGGATTAGCAGTAGTAACCGAGAAATCATTGTGAAGGATTCAAGTCGTTATAAATCTAATGGAAATTATCTTAAGCAATGCAATCCATTCTCAGTTTTTTCCTGACAAAAAGTAAAGAGACGTGCTTCGGAAATATGAAGCAGAGTGAATAATTCCTACGTTATGCGCAAGATCCCTTGCACCAAAATTTGAGAAAACAGGTATGGTGGTGAGTGTTCCATTTGCCGTCCTTCACCTTGGCTTACTTAATATGTATATAATACACCGGCCAAGATTCAACACAACATACCCAACTGCTCCTCGAACCCAGGTGGGGTTACTGTACATCTATGTGGGTTCTGGAGCTCGGGATAGTGTTCAATGGGGGCAAGGTTCTGAGGAACTTGTTTAACAACCAACCCACATATTCCATTATCACATACTGAATGAATGAATATAAATGTAACGGCAAAAGAGATCTCAATAGCGTTCAGCATTTTCAGGCATGGTTTTTTTTTAGACACTGGCTCCATAAAACATTGGCCGACATACATAGGATCGGTGGTATTTCGAAGAAAATGTTATTTGTGAGACCAGTCTCATCAGTCCTGACTCCCCTACATACGCGCAAGCAAGATGCGGGACGGCGTTCTCCCTCCCATATATAGAGGGACTTAAACATAGTTAAGTTTGAAGCAGAAGATCCTTGAAGACAAGAATACCCGGGTCAACACCGTATTTTTCCAGTCGAATTGTGGACAATTGGATCGAATTTCTTCGGGGCTCAACAATGTCATACATCCATATTCCATTGTTTTTTGATCATCTAATCAATTGATTGCTAATATTTCGGAGCAAAAAGCAATGAACCTATAACCCAAACTTTCAAGCTGGGTTAACTTATACGGCGATACCCAAAAGTGATTAATGATCGCAAGAGATTCAGGCAGCACAAAACAAGAACCAGATGAGGAGTGCCAAAGCTCAAACAAGTTTGTATGTATGTTAAGAAGGGAAGCTCCAAAATCATGAGACTCCACCAACATATCCAGAAATATGTACAAAGATGACAGTTGATCTTTGATTGAGCGCTGAAGGAATAGCCATGCATGTGTATGTATGCATTCTAAAGGATCATCAGCCCAAGACACAGCTTCTGATTGGTGGGTTTCTCTATCCACAGAGCATCCCAGCGACAATTCAACCGACATGAAGACCATCCTCTTCGGCCGAGGCCCGGAAAGGAGCAAATGCTTCCCGCGGAGGAACCCTTGAGCCGCAACTTGCCAGGAGCCAGTCGTACAGGCGAGGCACTCGCTCATTGTTTTACACTTGCTCTCGGGTGAGCTCAATCCCAGTAGATAGTGTTTCGATTTCTTACCGTCAACAACTCTCAGATGCAGTATTTGTCCAAGAGATCTGAGTGATCCCCATGCAATGTTTGAGAATACGATACAAGACACGAGCGGATTCAAGCAGGAGCTTAGCATAGCCAGTCCTATTTGGCAGGGCATTGGGCTTCGTATTCATCATTACGGGGAATAAATGAAAGTGATAAGACACACTCAAGGATCAGAGTGGTCAAAAAAAAAAACAATGCGACTTGATGGCCATAGATGCAAGTTCATTTTGTGTGTTTTTTGAGTGTATGTGTGATTTGTGAGGATGGGTTGGGGTGGAAAAAAGTGAGAGATTTAGAGGGCTAATGATTGAAGAGCATGATCATCACAATCTCAAAATGAAAAAAATGAAAAAATAACAAGAGTAGATTTTTGAGTGTAGATTTATGATTAGGATCAATTCAAAAACCGACAAGCCAACGAGGGGGGGGGGGGGGAGGAGGGGAGAAAAGGAAGGATGAGGGGGGGGGGGAAGAATCATTCGTCCTTTTTCTTTCAACATGGACAGGGAGCACCAAGTAAAGAAAAAGTGGCACAGGTGCGGAAGAAATACAAGTAAAAGGGCGGTGTGTTTTTTTGCGGTAAGAAGAATCTGCAAAGAAGGGCGAGAGGGTAACGGATTTGTATTTAAAGAATTATGTAGCCGGGTACTTCTATCTATGCTGTTGGTGCAAAAGGCGGTTCACCAGGTTGGTCAGTCCTCAGATGGTCGGTTGTTATGGTAACACAGATTAATTGACTCACACTTAGGGGCTTCTTTGAACGCAAGGCACATTTCTTCACCCATGGCACTGTTCGGAAAGAAAAACGGAGATTAGTAACTCGGACATGTTCAGATTGAGGGATCTCTTAACATACGCAGTGATGGTGCAGTAAAGCTAAGGAGGGCCAAGGCAGTGGGTCAATATGAGTTGCAGGACTGAGGATCTACTGGAACTGAACTGGCTTACATCTTTGCCAGCGTCGAATTGAGCTTGGATGTCGTCACCGAGATCACCCTCGGGGACCTTGACGTCATCCTTGGCAACTGAATGGCGAGAAAGATCAGCAAAAGGTTTGCAAGGACGGAGAGAATGAATGGATTACAAACCTCCATCGGTGGTGATGAGGTTGAGGAAGCCGTCTTCGATGTTGACGAGCTGGTATTCGGTTCGGCTGACGTTGGGCACATCCATGTTGTGGGTGGATGGAGAGATATCTTCGTATTTACGGGTGGTGAAGATATCTATGCCGACCAAATGCACTTTGGCGTGACCGTGTTTACCGGTCTTGGAGGTGGACATGTCGACGATCTGGGGGGGGGGGGGGGCACCAGCGGAGGGGATGGGTTAGTAAGCCGTTGGATGGGGATCAGAGAGCGGGCCGGAGGGGGAGACTGCCACGCTGGATGGTGAAATCCGAGACCGGAGATGATCTCCGATCCATGTCCGACTGTGATCGGAAATGCGGAGAAGAGGCTGGGAGGTGAAATCGGAAAGGCTGGCTTACTTTGCAGGGTCTGCCCTTGATGACAACGTGTCCGTTCTTGCGTAAGGCGGAACATTGCATGGGGTAGGTGAGCGAGGCACCTGAAAACAGCACAAAAATGGATGGTCTGATTAAATTGGAATGTTCACTCCAGAGGGAGGCCGGCCTCTCGATAGTATCAATCAATCATTCCACGCACCAGCCCCGGCAGCCTCGAAGGTTTGGTTGTGTTGCTCGTCGTCAGACCTATCAGAGAAAGTAAGGCGGGAGGATGGAGTCAGCCGACCGAGAGCGAGTGGCAGTTGAACGAGAGGGAAAATACGAACATGGTGGAGGCGTATGTTGATTAATCGACCTAAACGTGAGAGTGACTGTCGTAACAACTGGACTGTCTGATAAGGAGAGAGAGATAAGCATCAGCCAGCCAGCTCGGTAAACAACAAAAATATGACAGAAGAAGAAGAGACAAAGCATGTCTGTCAAGAAGGGAGATGAGGATATCAGAGGGAAAGCGGCCAACCGAGGAGGGAACGATGCTTAGCTGATGGAGTGGATTGGACAGACAAGCAGGAGAGGAGGGTAGTGTGAGCCGGAGAATGGGACTGACAGTGAACGCTGAACGGGGTTGAAAGCCGAGGAGACTCACAAGTTGCGCTTGAACTTCGCTGGCTGTGAAAACGTGGGCAGAAAGAACAGGGCAGTGGAGGAGGGCTTTTCCAGAAGGGCGTGTTTGGGGGGGGGATGGAGCCAAAAAAAATATGAAAAAAATGGGACAGACTCTACTTTACTGCTCAGAGACGTGTAATCCGACGCCGCTGCGACCACACAAGTGAATCAGCAGCAGGTGGTGCTGCGGCTCAGCGACGTAAACCATGTGGCCTAATCTAAACCTAATCCCGACACCATTGGCGAAACGGCGGAACCAGAGAACTCCGATCGGATCCGATCCACGTCTCACTCGCCGGGGTGAGTCATGCTTGTGGAAAAAAGTTCTGTTGGACAATGATCGAAGCGCTGGGGCTGTTGAGTACGCCTGTTGGAGAGTGTTGAGCCGGCTCATTGAGTCGATGGAATATAGCTGGTGCCCATGCAATGGAACAAGTCCCCTGAAAAAAAGAGGATAGCAATCCACAGAAAGCCGGCTCCAGTTTCTCATGAGAGACAGCAAAGCAGCAGAGAGTAGGAAGTAATCAGTCTTGACCAGTCTTACACATAGTTACAATTTGCACAAATCTAAACAAAAGTCAGGTATACCTGGTGGCAGTTTATAATAGTAAAGTAATTCACATTGGTGATTTTATAGGCATCTCCATGTATTTTTTTTTACCATGATGTCTTTTACATAATCATCAGTTTGTCCTGAGTGCTGTCTTCAGACAGGATATGATAATTGGGCTTCAAATCAGAGTGACATTCACACCTCAACACACAAGCCCCTTAATTGGAACTTGGCATGGGGTCAACACCTTGCCAAGTAAGTCTCTGAAGGAGGAGGTTGAAGATGTGGCTCATATCAAACTTTTGGGACAATATCTTTTGGTTTGTTGATGGTGGGAAGCTTCCCTGCAGGTATGTACCACCTTGTCTCTCTTGAAGATGATGGCTGTCTGTTGGTCCATTATGTCTAAGGAGAGATTGCCTATTATCTAGTGATAGGTCGTCGCGCCACTTACGCCAAGATCTTTGAGAAAACCAGAGAGCATGCTGGGCAATGCATAACAGATGTGGTAGCCTACGATAAAGATATATGGGATAAGACACACAGACAACGCTGGGCCAGCTACGCTAACCGTAGCGGTTAGCGCAGCGTAACGTAGCGGAATTCCACGCAACTTTAGCGTAGCGTAGCGGGATTCCGCCACGACACCGCTAACGCTACGCGTGTGGGCCGCAAAAAAGGGCCCACTACGCTGCGCTACAGCGCTTTTAGCGGTTTTTGGTCGCTTTTTCCGCTAAAAGCGCTGTAGCGCAGCGTAGCGTAGCGAAAAACCGCTACAAAAACGCTAACACTACCGCTTTTGGATGAAAAAAAAAGCGCCCGCTACGCTACGCTTTTTGGGCCAAAAGCGTAGCGTAGCGTAGCGGGCCCACCGCTGACACAGAGAACCACAGTTCAAGGTGGGGGACCAGGTACTGATATCCACAGCCAACTTCAACAATTTATCTGGACCAAAAAAGATGAGAGATTCCTTTGCAGGCCCCATGCATAATTAAAGCATTACACAGAAAAAATGCTGTTGAAGTGATCTTAAGACTTGACTGAAGAGTTCAGTAGGAAACAACCCACTTTCCCAGTCAGTCTTGTCAAACCTTACCATACTCCAAATGAAGAAAAATTCCCTCTAAGGCAGAAAGTGAAGGTAGTCATACCCCCCATGGAAGAAAACCCTAAGAATAAGATTATTCACAAGATCCTGAGGGAAAAGAGATTAAGAGCTGAGTAGACAATAGAGATGTGTGGATGTTTCTAGCTAGATATAAGAACATGAGTGCAGACAAAGATGAATGGCTATTAGAAAAAAATATTCCTAATGCTAATATCCTACTCCAAAAGCTCAGGTGTGAGAAGAGATCTACCCGATGCTTCATTTCTTGAAATGAACCCTTTTTGGTGGTAGGGAATGTCAGCCTTAGAGCCAGCCAAGCTGGCCAAAAGACTGCTTAAGTCCTCCCTTTTCACTCTAGTCCCTAATGTAACTTTTTAATTCAAAACTTTTGTTACATTCTGACTTCAGAAATGAATTCCTTTGTTAATTTTAACCTTAGTCACCCCTACACACTTTTACACTACTCTTCTCCTTCATATATTTCACCGTACCTTGTGAAATATCAGCCAAGTTAGAATTCCAACTCTCTACCACATGTACATGTTGTGATTATTTAATCCAACTCTGAAAATTCTCTCAGTAGAAACTGAGTTTGCATTTTCAGGATCTTCAAGCTTCAGACCCACCCAGAACCAACTCAGGACAGAAAACCAGCACACCTCAACTTGGATTCACCGCTGAATCATTGCCGTGTTATTGTTAAGAGTCCTTTACTCATTGGAATCTTCCCACTCATTGTGTCAGGATCACCAATAAGTAAGTCATTCCTTCAAGTTCAGCTTGCATCTTTCTGCTAAGTTCCTTCTCAGTCTCTCTGAATGATCACATCATTCCTTTTCTACTAAACCTCTGCCTTAATCATCATCAAATGAAATCAAGTCATCTTTATTCTCTGTTTGGTGGTATAACTGAAAACCACCTAGGTTTCCCTTTAAAGAACCTTGATCTTTGATCTAAAAAATTGAGGTTGGATTGAAATATCAATACCAAGTACCCTTTTCAGTTTCAGTTGATTAGGAGGCGTAGATTAATTCCGCTTAAACAACAGCCATCCTTTTCAGGAAAGTAAGACTGCATTCAAACCTTGATAATAAAATAAATAAACCAATAAGAAATCTTTATTCATTTCTTTTCTCATTTCTTTCTCTTTCCTTTTCTCTCCTTCTAGTTGTATTTCCTCATCCATCAGAAATACATCTATATTTGCCCACCCAATTCTTGTGTCCTGCTGTCACTTTTGAGACCCAGGCTCACAAAGACCCTCCTTTAAATGCTCTTGTTTAACATTTTTTTACAAAAGTCTGATTGGGGCTCATTGAAAAAGCTGTGGATTTACACAACTAATAATAATAGTGGAAAGTATTTTGATATAGCTTAGAGTCTGCCAAAGGAGTGTTCCATACATTTTCACTGGGCTTCTTTAATCTTCTCAAAATCTGTCTGATTGGCTCCCCAAGTCCACTAGAGAGGGCCCTGTCCCATCCAGATATCTGCTTGCTTTTTCAGGGGAATCCAACATCTGCATCCGCATCCGCTGGTGGGTATCTGCTAAATTTTTGAGCTAAGTCAAGAAGGAGTTTAGGGCCAAAAAAGAAGGAGTCTTGTTTTTTGGGAAAGGCTCACGGTGAAGGAGTGTAAAGAACCGATGGATTTTATTTCTTGACGTAGTTATCCTGTTTAAATAGACTAAATACAAGAGGTTTAAGATGTGGTTGAGAGAAATGAATAGCAGAAATCAATTGAATAAAAACTGAGAGGAAATAAGTTTATGAGTTCTTGGAAGAAACAACGTGACAGGCCTTCTCAATCTCTTTTAGTCATGCCAGAAGATTAATCAAGAGAAAACATAAGTTAGACCACATATATTGAAAGGCATTAATTATAAATAATCAGTTTTTAAAGAATGTTGAGTTTTTCCTCTCTTTCCCAAAACACACGCGCTGCCTTCGTCCACGTCCCATGCTCCAATCCTGTGACATCTCACTAGAACCACGCCACGTGCCGCAGCCTGATGAGTTAAACAACCCTATATTCACCTCCGGTTCTTGTATCACTTAGGGTTGGACTAACTCCTCATCAAAAGACGAACTCCTCGTATCTAATCATTCCTTAGCCTTGTCAAGATTTCATCTCGACCCTCGGATCAAGACTCGACATCTTCAAGCCTCGCTCAATAAAAAACATCCTCAAGACCTGATACTGTAAAGTATTCCTCACTCGAATCCTCTCATTCTCGCTCATCTCACCTGACCTCTCAACTCTCATTCTCTCATCAAGATCGAATCCAGTCTCCTCAAGACTCTCAACTCAGGCAGCTTTATTATCGCTCATCACGATCTCTCATCGTGTTGTTTGTTATTTTCTCTATTCTTTTTCACTCATGTTTTCTTTTGTTGTTTGTTGAGGAAATCACTAACTTCTTATCTCTTCTCTTGATTGTTTTCCTTTTCCTTGTTTCTAGTTGCTTCTTTATAAAAATCTTCTGTTACTTCTTATCAAAGTCCTCTCATCTATATCTTATTCCATCATTAGTGGTTAGCCTCTTTTCTCTTCTTTTCTTTCTTCTCAATTGTTGGTCTGAATTTCTCACTCACTTGTTGTTTCTCTCAACTCAGTCCGGTTTTGGTTTTTGGCAATATTACTCAAAATTCTTCACGATTAACAGTCGAAGGACGCTAACCGAACCTACGACTAAAACCACTACCAAACCGGATTCTAATAAAGGTCGCGATGGACGCTATCAATTCTACTATCCTGAAGACGACCATAGAGGCAATTCCGGTACTCACCGAAGAAAACTTTTCAACTTGGAAGACCAGGATCACCGCGCTCTTCAAGCTTGGGGGACTCAAAGATCAAATCATCAATGGCGAACCCGATCTGGAAGAAGTCGATAATACCATCCTCTGTGCTATCATTCTCGCCAAACTCTCCACCACTACTCACAAGAATGTAGTCAACTCCACTAACGAAGAAGACTCCCAACTCCTCTGGAAGAGTATTCAAAAACGTTTCTCATCCAACGAGCCATCTAATCGCGCTAGAGTCTACAACTCATTTGCCAGCATCATCTTCGACTCCAACAACATTGAAAAGTTTATTACTGAAGTAAGAAGTACTCTTGTCCGAATGGAAGACGTCGGTATCGACATGCCTGAAGACATCCTCACATACGATCTCCTTCGTCGATTACCGAAGAATCTTGACAACATCAAGCAAAAGATCACTCATTCCAAAGATGGCGAGGACATCAAACCTGAAGTTCTAATCGACCATCTAGAGATTCACCTCAACGAGCTCAAGGTTTCAATGGGGAACCAAGCTGAGAATCTCGAGACTGCCATGTTCACCAAAGAAGACACTCGCTGTCGAACCGGTGCCCATAACCCATACTCGACCAATCACATCAAGGACGATTGCTTCTTTCTCCATCCAGAAAAACGGGAAGCCTACAACAAAAGGATTAACGGAAAGAATGTCAGCAGCTTTTCCACCTTCTCCTCTCATTACCCAAACGGCTTCATTCTTGACTCCGGTTCAACGTCTCACATGGTCTCTGACAAGAAGCTATTCATTCATCTAGACGAAACCGAAACAGGAGTGATAAATACGAGCTGCGGTCAAAATACTCTGCGTATTGAAGGAAAAGGGTCCATTTCTCTCATCTTCGATAAGAAACCAGTTGTTTTCCACAATGTGCTATATGTTCCCAAAATCACTGTCAATCTCCTGTCCCTACGTCATCTTCTGCTCGAGCAATGCAGCTTAAAATTTTCAACCAAT